CCGTCTGGCTCGCATCGCGTGCACTCAAACGTTAGAGGCTTCCCTTCGCCGCACTCTTGACTCTGACTACACTCACACTCTGACTCTGACTCAGACTCGTGGTGAGCAGCTTCACTCACACCCTTGTCTCTGGCTTGTGTGATGCGCCTCAGCAGACGCCCCTGCCTTTACCTGCCATACTTTCGTGCTGTCTGCCGCACAACAGCAAGCAAGCGCGCAGATCCAAGCTTCGATCTTACTGCAGCATCAGCATTCTCCTACCATCGACCGAATCCGCAGCCCTTTGGACCTGCACCGCTACGCCACCTGGTCGCTGTCAGCACCACAGCCACAGCTCCAAGGATGATCTCGCCCATCACTGAAGGCACATCGCGTCCTGAGCAGGCAATCAAGCCTTCCCTTCTCGTCGGCCCTTCATCCACCCCGCTGCGATGGATCAAGCGCAGCGTCAATCACGACTGCAAGTCTGATCGGGCAGCGCAGCATTCCGAGGAGGTATGGCGCGGCATGGAGCTGGATGATGGTCAGGCAAAGAATGTGCTGGTGTTGGGAGGCTCATACGGTGGCATGCACGCTGCCAGCGTCCTGGCACAAAAGTTGCCACCCAGCCATCGCGTCATTCTGATCGAGAGAAACTCGTGAGTGGAGCGGTCGTGAGTTGCTGCTTTGCGCACGCACGGCACGGCACGGCACGGCACGGCACGACAGCGAGCCGAATGCTCAATGGCACAACGTTGTCCATCTTTGCAGCCACTTCAACCACCTCTACGTCTTTCCTCGATTCTCGGTCATGCCAGGCAAGGAGCACGCCGCATTCATCCCATACTCTTCCTTGTTCGATGCCGCCCCGGCCAGACCGAGCGTGCGAGACCGCTGGTCGAGCGAGCATCAGCAGAAGCGACAGGCGCACGCAGCCACCAGTCGGGACCCGCACGGTCCGACAGGCGATGGAGCTGCTCTGCTCGGCTTTGAGCGTAATCCGCTGGGCGGGCGCGACCAAGCAACGCAGCGACATGCAAACGCTGCTGCTCAGCAGGCAGGGGTAGCGTCCACACAGTGGCGAGACTCTGACGAACCTATACTCCAAGCACAGCGCACCTCAACGCCAACGTCAGATCGCTCATCTCGCGCCACAATCACAGCATCCGACTCTGCCTCCACTCGCTCCAGCCCCGACACTGTCGCCACTTCTGTCGATCGTAACGAAGAGAGCGACATCGAGGAAGGGCCTCAAGTACAGATCCGCAAACTCAATGAGCGGGGAGAGGTGGAGCAGCAAGCTGAGACGCTAGTCACCGAGTGCGACGTCTCTCAAGAGTTTCGACAATCTCACGCCCATCAAGTGCTTCAAGCTAGCGTCGTTAGCATCACAGACTCGCACGTGGTGGTGCAGCCGGCGTCGCCCGCAAGTAATGCAGCGCGAGATGGAGAGCAGCCAACAGCAAAGCCGCTGTGGCAAATTGATCAGCGTTCCATCCCATACACCCACCTCATCTACGCTCTGGGATCCCATCTTCCCGATCCGCTGCGCACGCCTGCTCGCACAAAGCTGCAAGGGCGTTCCTGGTTGCAAGCCATGCAAAGGCGCGTCGCACAAGCTCATGACATTGTCATTGTCGGTGGCGGCGCGCTAGGCGTGGAATATGCTACGGATATCGCTAGCCTATATACGGGGAAAGAGGCAAAGAATGTCACGCTGATTCATTCGAGAAAGCAGCTTCTGCCTAGCTTCGATTCGAGGGTACACGAGGCGGCATACGAGAGAATTCTGGAGCTCGGTGTCAATGTGGTGCTGGGAGAGAGGTTGGCCACCAGTGAGGGATGCCCGCGAGGCAGCACGAGCAATGCGCAGCAGCAGTCTTTAGCTCAGGACAGCGTTGGGGGCGGCGCTACCTGTGAGGGCGCACCTGCGGGGGAGGGTCCCGCCGCGGCTAGTTCGGGAATGTGTCTTGGGGCAGGCCGCAAGCTGATCAGGACCACGACGGGTCGCGTGCTAGAGGCGGACTTGTTGCTGCTTTGTACGGGCCAACAACCCTCGTCGCAGATTTTGGCAGAGTTTAGTCCCACTTCCGTCGATCCTACCAGCCGTCTGATCCGCGTCACGCCTCACCTGCGCGTCGCTAGACCTGCAGATGCTGCACCCGGTCCCGTCGAACCGATCAACCCTTGCGGCGATTGCGATTGCTTTGTAGATGGCAAAGCTCACACGGTGGACAAGCACGGCAACTTGTCTGCAGCGGCTCAAGTCGATGCGGACAAGGAAGCTATCCACAACGTCTATGCCATAGGAGACTGCGCCGATGCGTTTGGCGCCCTCAATGCTGGCTATCAAGGTGAGCGCCTTGCCAAGATCGCCCATGCAAGCGCAGGCTGACCACCGTTTCTTTCTCTCTGCTCAGCTTGGGCGATGGCTGACGTAGCAGCCGAAAATATACTGCGGAGCATTGAACATTCTTCGGGCTCATCCGCGTCCACAACGGCCAACTCCGCTTCGGACACGCAACGGTGGCAGAGCTTTACGCCTGCACCGACTATGCTCAAGCTCTCATTGGGTTTGGGCAAGATGGTTTTCCAGGGTGCGCCAGCTGCTGACCTAGAGACGGGCGAGATGCGACCTACCATCGAGATCAAGGATGATCCGCATGACCTGGCTGTCGAGGGTGTTTGGGGAATGGCAGGTCACCACACTAGAGATTTGTATTTGTAGCCGAAGGGCAACTAGACAGCGCTCATGCATCATCTGCTTTCCTTGTTGCGACCGAGCTCTGTGTGCGCCGCCCCTCACGCGTGACTCCTTCATGTCTGATGCAGTGCCAGGATCAAGTCAAATACTCCTCTCACACAAGAAAGGAAAAGAAAGAAAGGATTGCCGGTGAAGATCAGTGAAATGGAAGTTGTTTGGGGATGAATCCGATCCCTACAAATCACATGACTCTTGCCTAAGGTGAAGGAGAGAGATAAGGAACACCATCGGCGTG